AGATCAGTAAACACGGGGTCATGTCTCAGCATGGAGATCAGTAAACACGGGGTCATGTCTCAGCATGGAGATCAGTAAACACGGGGTCATGTCTCAGCATGGACATCACTAAACACAACTCGGTGAACTGTCACCTTGCCTTCAGAAAAACTAATCCCCAACTAGACTGGCAAATGGCAAAGTCGAAAGACTTCACAAAAGTCAAAGTCCACAATGACTGAAAATATAACAGTGCAGAAACCCTCTACTGAAGTTAGTCAACAATGCCTGGCAAATGGCAAAGTTAATTTCTCGTCTTCAAACGTTAGTTAGAATGTCTGAGAAATCTGGCAGAGACGGAAATCTCCTCTCCAAGAGTTTCAGGCCTCTCCACACAGGCCTGAAAACATGACAAGACCTCCCCAGACGGCAATTTAAATATCACTTCACCACAGAATTACAATTTGCGAATTTACGCGAAAAACACTTATTTTCAACTCTGATCCACAACAATAATCCTCTGCTTACCTACGGTAAGAAATGAACAGATATATGTACATGTGTTCTGAGCGCACACACACACAATACGTGTGATACAATACAACCCAAACAAACATATTTTAAATGGTAATACAGGTACATTGACAATTAAGGTATGACCTCATTAAGGTATGTTATGGGGGGGTTATAAATAGGGGCTGCCTCGTATGGGCCAATAGGCCTTCTGCAGTTACCTTTGTTCTTATGGTCTTACCTCAGTGTATCCAGTCTGAACTAGTTAGGCTGGGTCGTAAGTGTTTCTCAACCCAAGATTATTATTGCAATGTACGACATCGTAGCACTTCGGAGCTCATAACTTGTTTAGTAAATACAGACTGAGCCACCATGATGGAGGTAAGAGGTACAGATATCTTAAGTGGACACGGAAATGCTTGGAGAATCCTGTCTTTGGTTTATGCTGATGACAAGTGTTCCAAGTCGTGGCGTAAGGGGCCTTGTTCTGTGGATTATCATGTAAGGCGAGCTATCACACTTCTGCTATCTTGAGGTTATCTTGAGATGATTCCGGGGCTTAGCGTACCCGCGGCCCGGTCCTCGACCAGGCCGCGTTTTTGTTACACACACCCCAGGAAGCAGGCCGTAGCAGCTGTCTAACGCCCAGGTACCTATTTACTGCTAGGTGAAAAGGGGCATCAGGGTGAAAAAACTCTTCGCATTTGTTGCCGCCTTCGCCGGGGATCGAACCCGGAACTTTAGGACTACGAATCCCGAGCGCTGTCCACTCAGCCGTCTGTCCTCACGTGCCTCACCATTGCGGTTTGGTGGCGGACTTAAGGCTTATATCAGCCTCTGGCGGGTTGTTAAGGCCGCCACAATCGCTTACTGACCAACCAGCAAGTATACTTGAGTCCTGAATATTGTCCGGGACTAAGTAAACTCACTGTAGACCGATAAGAGAGGCTCACCTCTGGGTCTACATATTTGATGGTATTTTGAACAAATCCACAAGGGCCGTGACTAGGATTCGAACCTGCGTCCGAGAGCATCCCAGCTGCCTTAATCGAGGCATTTGTTCATTTGATGCATCACGCAATTGTGATTTCTGTGTGTGGTGGTATTTTTGCTTGCTTTAAAGCTTACATTATTCTTGCATTTAAGCATCATTTTTTTGTTTTTATGCTTGCATTTATGTATGTTCTTATTCTTGTAATTCGTAACGCAATTAATCTTCATTTGACACGCACCACCACCACCAACTGCAGATGAAAATAATGCTTTGAAATGTGTATTTTGTCAGTTGAATTCACTGAACAATTCTTCAAAGTGCAACACTTTACCCCTCTCACCTCGGAGCCGAAGCTCAACCCCCGCAAGCACAACTAGGTGAGCACCTGAATACTTTTGTGTAGGGGGGGGGGATGTCTCTAGGAAGGTTGAGGGGGGGGGGGGGTGGGGTGAGATAAAGTGACTTAATTATTTCCTGGGTTCCCTTAACCCCAAAAGTGCGCAGTCCAAAAGTTACCTTCGTAACAACAAAAGTGCGCCAAAAGCTATTCAACAAAAAAGTAGTCCATCTAGGAGGGGGGGGGGGGAGTTGCATCTTAAAAAAACAATAGTTAACGAATGAAAATTGGGGAAAAATTGGCAGATAACGATTGGTGGGACTAGTTACTATTCTCATTCAAACTGTTTTCTCACCATCCGAATATTGTGACATCAATTGTGCCGCGATAATGGTAAACTCCACTCTCTCTGTTCTTCCCCATATGTATCATCATTAAAATTGTAAACTAAATGTTAATTCATATCAAAGATGCAAGTTTGACACAGACTGCTGTACACCTCTTTAGTCCAGCCATTATTGTAATGATTTGTACAAGTTAAGAAAAAAGTTGCCGATTCTGGAGCAGTATAAGGGATTTCTGGAGCAGTATTAGGGTTTCTGGGGCAGGATAAGGGGGTTTCTGGAGCAGTATTAGGGTTTCTGGAGCAGTATAAGGGTTTCTGGGTCAGTATAAGGGTTTCTGGAGCAGTATAAGGAGATTTTTGGAGCAGTATAAGGGGTTTCTGGGGCAGTATAAGGGTTTCTAGAGCAGTATAAGGGTTTCTAGAGCATTATAAGGGTTTCTGGATCAGTATAAGGGTTTCTGGATCAGTATAAGGGATTTTTGGAGCAGTATAAGGGTTTCTGGAGCAGTATAAGGGTTTCTGGAGCAGTATAAGGGTTTCTGGAGCAGTATAAGGGTTTCTGGAGCAGTATAAGGGGGGCGGTTTCTGGAGCAGTATATGGGTTTCAGGAGCAGTTTAATTGTTTCTGGAGCAGTATAAGGTTTTTGGAGCAGTATAAGTGTTTCAAGAGCAGTATAAGGGTTTCTAGAGCAGTATAAGGGGGGTTTCTGGAGCAGTATAAGGGTATCTGAAGCAGTATAAGGGTGTCTGGAGTAGTATAAGGGTTTTTGGAGCAGTATAAGGGTTTCTAGAGCAGTATAAGGGTTTTTGGAGCAGTATAAGTGTTTCAAGAGCAGTATGAGAGTTTCTGGAGCAGTATAAGGGTTTCTGGAGCAGTATAAGGGTTTCTGGAGCAGTATAAGGTTTTCAAGAGCAGTATAAGGGTTTCTAGAGCAGTATAAGGGGGGTTTCTGGAGCAGTATAAGGGTATCTGAAACAGTATAAGGGTGTCTGGAGCAGTATAAGGGTTTCAAGAGCAGTATAAGGGTTTCTAGAGCAGTATAAGGGTTTCTAGAGCAGTATAAGGGTTTCTGAACGCCATAGTGTCCCTATCCTTCAGCTCCAGGTGCTTGTTTTAGTGGCCTAGAGTAGACTTCAAGGTCACTTGTTGTTAAATGATTAACTTAATAATTCTGGTCTGTGTCTGTGTGTCTGGGCTCTGTTACCTAGCAGTAAAATAGGTACCTGGGTGTTAGTCAGCTGTCACGGGCTGCTACCTGGGGGTGGAGGCCTGGTCGAGGACCGGGCCGCGGGGACACTAAGCCCCGAAATCATCTCAAGATAACCTCAAGATAACCCCCAATAGAATACTACTATTAATCCAGTGGCAGTATTGCAATCAGTGCAATTTGTTTGATTTTTTTTGATTGACCTGAGTAATGAATAGACCTTATACATACTAAGCTATGTATACTTTCATGAGAAGATATTGATGAATTAATATGTTCAGTATATGAATATGGTTTTCAACGTATAAGGGTGTGCTCTCCTTGGTGTGATGAGATGGGTGAAGCTTTAGCTTCTAAGCCCCGCCTTTCCGGACTGGTTGATGCAGTGATTGTTACTCCCGGCATGTGATTGATGATATGTGTCTTTGAAGGATATTGATGTCATTTTATCATCTAATGTTTGCTATTAACTTGTTCCATTCGTTTGTAGTGCTTACGAAAACACCTGCCGTTGGTGTTGTGGTGTGTTGGGGGCCTTCTGGGCTGTGTTGAGGGCCTTCTGGGCTGTGTTGAGGGCCTTCTGGGCTGTGTTGAGGGCCTTCTGGGCTGTGTTGAGGGCCTTCTGGGCTGTGTTGAGGGCCTTCTGGGCTGTGTTGAGGGCCTTCTGGGCTGTGTTGGGGGCCTTCTGGGCTGTGTTGGGGGCCTTCTGGGCTGTGTTGGAGGCCTTCTGGGCTGTGTTGAGGGCCTTCTGGGCTGTGTTTGAGGGCCTTCTGGGCTGTGTTGGGGGCCTTCTGGGCTGTGTTGAGGGCCTTCTGGGCTGTGTTGGAGGCCTTCTGGGCTGTGTTGAGGGCCTTCTGGGCTGTGTTGAGGGCCTTCTGGGCTGTGTTGGGGGCCTTCTGGGCTGTGTTGAGGGCCTTCTGGGCTGTGTTGAGGGCCTTCTGGGCTGTGTTGAGGGCCTTCTGGGCTGTGTTGAGGGCCTTCTGGGCTGTGTTGAGGGCCTTCTGGGCTGTGTTGAGGGCCTTCTGGGCTGTGTTGGGGGGCCTTCTGGGCTGTGTTGAGGGGCCTTCTGGGCTGTGTTGGGGGCCTTCTGGGCTGTGTTTGGGGCCTTCTGGGCTGTGTTGGGGGCCTTCTGGGCTGTGTTGGGGGCCTTCTGGGCTGTGTTGAGGGGGTCCTTCTGGGCTGTGTTGAGGGCCTTCTGGGCTGTGTTGGGGGCCTTCTGGGCTGTGTTGAGGGCCTTCTGGGCTGTGTTGGGGGCCTTCTGGGCTGTGTTGAGGGCCTTCTGGGCTGTGTTGGGGGCCTTCTGGGCTGTGTTGGGGGGCCCTCACCCTCCCTGCATTTCCACTCTTCCTCAATTTTTCTTCCTCCCTTTCCACTCTTCCTCCCTCTCTCCTTGCGTTCCCACTCTTTCCCTGCTTTAGGGATGGTGAGCCGGGCGAGGCGTGTAACGCTTGTTAGCGGCGGCTGTTAAAACTCCAGCAACTACTCCACCAAATGGCAGGCCATTACGGACTAACAAGAAAAACCTTCTTTTCCTCTTGCTCCTCCTTGTGATGGTGCTTCGCCTGCTCCTTTTCCTCCTCAGCGTCAACCTCTTGTGTTCCTTCTGCTGCTGCTGCATTAACTCTTGTTGCTGCTCCTTGATCCTCCTCCTCCTCTTCCTCATGCCTCCCTCTTTATTGTCCTCCCACGCCGCCTCTCGTCTCCCTCCTCCTCCTCCATGGCCTCTGATCTTTTGTTTTAATGGTGGACGAGCAGCGGGCGGGGGAGACGGGGGGCCTCTTGCGCACACTGGCTTTGAGGGCCGGCGGCGTCGAAAGCTCAGCTTGCTGGGCGCTGCAGTGAAGCACGATGATTTAATGGGGAGGTTGCACGAGCCGGGCCCTGCATGGGTGCCTTGTGCTCGCCTAGATGCTCTCACCCACTTGTGTCCTCTCGGGATAGACGACCACTCAGCTCTCCTATATCCCCCAGTCTTGCTTCCCCTGAAGCCAAGTTGGAGTCTGAATTCGAAGTCTAAATCTTCTGGACTCTTAGATGATTCACTAACCTCCAGAGGCCCCCTCTCAGGTACTTTTCAGGGGCTCTTGCTGTCCTCTTGTGGTACATAGACTGGCTGTTTCATTCCTACAAGTTCTGTCTACTTGCTTAATCTATTGAGGTGTGGTAGGTCTTTGCCAGCGATCTTCTGGACATTTCCACAGCCTCTTGTGGGATCTCTTGAGGGATCCATGGGAACGCTACATGGCGGGGTCCTTGTTGCTTTTGTTTGACCCAGTTGCTCTTAATTGCTTCCTGGCTTCCTCTGCTGCAACCTCTGTGTTTAATCCTGTTGACAAGTTACAGATTTCCCTGTACTCTGCTGACGTACTTCCGGCTCAATTTTGAAACTTTCCTGAAAGTTTTGCTGAAAAGTTCATTACTTGCTTCGTTGTCATTTTGTGTATGACATCTTGTTTTTTTGTAAATGATCATTTGGCCCATTCGCCTGTGGTTTATGAGAGGTCTGTGAGGCTCATGTGGTTTTTCAGTTGGTTTTTTCCTATGTGACTTGCGCGCACATACCTTCCCTGCCTCTTTCTTAGTATTTGGGATTATCATGTGTCCTGAAGCCCCCCCCACCCCCCTCTCTCTCTCTCTCTCTCTCTCTCTCTCTCTCTCTCTCTCTCTCTCTCTCTATCATCCTATCATAAGTATTTCTCTCCCCTCGTCTCCTTCCTTCCTACCGTATCTTCCCCTCTCTCTACCTCACCTTCCCCCCCCCCCTCTCTCTCTCTCCCTCACCTTCCCCCCCCCTCTCTCTCCCTCACCTCCCCTCCTCTTTTTGTGTATCTCGTTTCCCCATTTAAAAATATCTTTGTTTTATTTGAACTTCCGCAAACTGGCCGTTGAGCCTTAGTGGCCTGCAAAATGGTTTGATCATTCATAATTAAGGACATAAATATGTAACGAGGCTAAGTGCATTTTAGTGAGGTGAGCGTTATACACCAGTGTATAACCGGGTATACACCAGTGTATAACCGGGTATACACCAGTCAAACATTTGTCAGCGGAGGAAAAAAATCATATATTTTGTGGCACGGTGTATAGCGTATACTTTTTTTTTTGCAGGGATATTCCTGCGCGGGCCCTAAGCCTCTGGCTGGCCCACTGCGCGGGCCCTAAGCCTCTGGCTGGCCCACTGGGCGGGCCCTAAGCCTCTGGCTGGCCCACTGGGCGGGCCCTAAGCCTCTGGCTGGCCCACTGGGCGGGCCCTAAGCCTCTGGCTGGCCCACTGGGCGGGCCCTAAGCCTCTGGCTGGCCCACTGGGCGGGCCCTAAGCCTCTGGCTGGCCCACTGGGCGGGCCCTAAGCCTCTGGCTGGCCCACTGGGCGGGCCCTAAGCCTCTGGCTGGCCCACTGGGCGGGCCCTAAGCCTCTGGCTGGCCCACTGGGCGGGCCCTAAGCCTCTGGCTGGCCCATTATGTGTTGCTTGTTTCTGTTTTACTTGAGCAGAGTATGAGTATTTATGACTCGTAAGCTGTATACTGCTTCTCCCTGCGTGTATGCACACCCACAATTTACACTAGTCTACTTTTCAGGGCTTGAGTATACTTGGTGGTTGGTCAGTAATCTGTTGTGTTGGTCTTAATAACTTTCAGAGGTTGATATGAGTTAAGCCCATCATCAGAATGTTTATTGTTACAATACAATTTCGGAAAATTTCAGGAACAACACAGCAGCGGCAAATACTCTTTTTATGCTTAAAAATTTCGTGTTGGTAACATTGTAAAACACCCAATAGGAGAAAGGAATTAATATAAACGGTCATGTTTGACACGTACCCCATAGTAATCGCGGTGCAAAGTTTGGTGAGGCTTCACCGCAGCGGCTAGCTTCCGTCCTCGGATAGACGGACAATCTGTTTTATAGATATGATTTTAGCTTGAATGAGTATGTATACGAGAATGAGAAATAGGCTTATAAGAGAAAGAGAAATAGGTTTATAAGAGAATCAGAAATAGGCTTAAAACGGAACGCCAAATAATCCTAGTATTCGTAACCGTCTTCCGTCTTAACAATGGGCAGAGTTTCTTTCACCCTGATGCCCCTGTTACCTAGCAGTAAATAGGTACTTGGGTGTTAGTCAGCTGTCACGGGCTGCTTCCTGGGGGTGGAGGCCTGGTCGAGGACCGGACCGCGGGGACACTAAGCCCCGAAATCATCCCAAGATAACCTCCTTCCTGACAGAGAAAATGTTGTATACTCATTTTAAAATGTTAACGTTTTTCAATTTGTTATAATTAGACGATAATTTGAATAATTTTAGTAATTCAATAAAACATTCGTGCAGTGTTACAATTTGTGTAGGTAGGCCTACTGGAGCGATGGAGGCGTGAGGTGGCCGAAAGTAGGCTCATGTGGGCTTTGTCGTGCAGAACTCTGCGTGTGTCTATAGCCATATTATTCATTCAAATAACAAATTTTCATTCAGTTAATGTAACGGTTCAGTCTTGTATGTGTTTGGTAATCTTAGCCGCGTGTAACGGTCTCTCTGTCACCATGGTTGGTTCGTTTGTGATATCTTCATTTTTGTTTACATGGTTGGTTCGTAGTGTTTGTGATATCTTCATTTTTGTTTACATGGTTGGTTCGTAGTGTTTGTGATATCTTCATTTTTGTTTACATGGTTGGTTCGTAGTGTTTGTGATATCTTCATTTTTGTTTACATGGTTGGTTCGTAGCATTTATGATATCTTCATTTTTGTTTACATGGTTTGTAGTATTTGTGATATCTTCATTTTTGTTTACATGGTTGGTTCGTAGTGTTTATAATGTGTCGCCTTTTCTTATTGCAGTTATTGAATTGAATTATTTGGAGCTTTTTTTTGCTTGGGGTTATTTTAAATTGTTGTTTTGTTTACGTTGCTTGTGATTGATATTTTGTTTACGTTGATTGTGATTGATATTTTGTTTACTTTGATTATGATTACCGTCAGGTGTGGCTGGAGCCGGAGACCTTGGTGAGGGCGGCCGGGGAGGTGGTGACCTTCCAAGCCTACAGTCCCGGGACCCACCTTCGCTATGACTGGGTCCTCCCGGGGAACGAGTCCCTACAGGATGCAGGTGAGTGGTGTGGGTGTGTGTGGGTGGGTGTGTGTGTGTGTGGAGGGGGTGTGTGTGGGTGTGTGTGTGTGTGTGGAGGGGGTGTGTGTGGGTGTGTGTGTGTGTGTGTGGGTGTGTGTGTGTGTGGGTGTAGGGGTGGGTCGGTGTGTGTGTGTGTGTGTGTGTGTGTGTGTGTGTGTGTGTGTGGGTATGTGTGGGTGGGTGGGGGTGTGTGTGGGTGGGTGGGGGTGTGTGTGGGTGGGTGGGGGTGGGGGTGATTTAGTAGAGAAGATTTAAATTATTAGATTTTTGTAGATTTTACAATCAAAGCTTTTAATCTGATGTTATTGCTATCATGGAGACAAAACTACATGACTGTTGGCCGTCGGATCAGGTACGCATGATTGGATAATGATCTTATCTGATATTGTTTTCATATAAAGTAGTGTTGTCATCCCGGATGATGTAACCAGATGGGGAGAAAATATTTTAAATATGCTTAATAACATCACAGTGGCGGGTTCCAGGAATTAGGATCTCAAATGTGCATCCGAGGATTTTTTGTATATGGTTTTTACCTGTTTTTGTGTTTAAGCCTAAGGCGGGTTTTTAATTTTGTAGTGGTTGTATCAAGCGAGTTATAAACGTGACCTTATGAAGTCCAAGGCTTTTTTTTCTACTACCACAGACGTGGCCACACATTTACAATGCTAACCAGCATATATACATTTTCTTCTGTCCTCCATGGACAGGGTGAGAGATGTGTTAAACATATAGTTCAGGGGTTTATTGAACAATCAACCACAGAAGGTGATTCGGTGCAAGGCTTGACCAAAGAATATGAGATAGACTAAGTGTGTTTCACACGTGGCTTTAACGACTCATCGTGCTGTTTGCCCTTCCCGTCTCCTGTTTTGGAGTGGATGTAAACGGAGGATGAGCTACAAAGACGACGAGACGTGGCTGAAGCCATGAGGACCAGACCACACGTCAGAACACGCAGAAACGACGACGTTTCAGTCCGTCCCGGACCATTAGCAAGTCGTGTGATGTAAACTCAACGTTAAAGTTAGGTAATTATAGGTGGTGACGACAGTGGCCGCCCATTGTTAAGGTCATGGATAAAATGTTTACCGATGAAGCTTCAACAGAGAACAACATGCTGCGATAAACAGCAATATACCCCCAGTAATGCTGTAGTAAGGACGAACAATAGCGGCAGGATTTACATACACGCACGCCCATTAACCTACTCATGTCCACCTACCCACCTAATTACCCACCCACCCACCTAGCTACCTAATTACCTACCCACCCTACCTGCCCACATACGTAATCCTGCCTCCCTGCCTGCTCCAGCGTGTTGCACAGGTAGCAAGGAGCGTGCCGGCTATCAGGAGCAACACACAGGGGGGGCAACACTACTGGTCCTGCCGTTACCAGCTGCGTGTCAACGCTCTTAGGAAGAGTTGTGAACTCTTATTCCCTGGCTGGAGGTGCCTCCTGTTGTCATCTCTCTCTCTCTCTCCTAATTCTTTATTCCACCCTCCGTCTTCACGCCTTTCACCTTACTCCCCCAATTCCTTCTGGCTTTAGAATACTGTTCCCTTTGAACTTCTTCCTCCATTTCATACCCTCATTACATTGCATTTGCAAGGGTTGAAATTCAGTGGCCACTTGTTTGGCCTTGCTTGTGGCTTGTTTGAACCCTCTGGTCTTATTTTAGTTATGTTGTATGCACCATTCTCCTCGGCAACAGCCCATCACCTGCAAACATTGGTATGTTATGATGTTATGAAGGAGAGAGTGATGTTATGGTAGTTACAGAAGGGAAGAAGAGGGAAGGAGAGATAGGGGTGGAGGATTGAGAGAGAGAAGGAAGGGGGGAGGGAGAGGTTGGA